GCCCAAAAAAAAAAACCCCCAAAAAAAAAAAAAAAAAAAAAAAAAAAAAAAGGCTAATTCAATGTTTCAGGGACCAGCAGATGGAGTAATGGTTACGTCTCTGGACTCCCACGTAGTTGACCAAGTTTCAAGTCCTGAATCTAGAGGCTTAAAACTCGCACTGGGTACATGTGTGTACGTGCCCAAAATCTGGAGAGGAGAATGGAGGAGAAGGGATTTCAGCGTGGCCATCCCCCTTGGGAGGTCATTTCTCACTTTCTGTCTCTCTGCGTTTCTCTGTTTCTCGGGCAAGTGCACATGCCCTATAGCAAAAATCTCCCTAAAAACAAACAAACAAAAAAATCAATCTTTAATTCATCATTTCAGCTAATAACTAATATAGGAAAGAACTCTATGTACACATTTGAAAATGTGCATATGTTTCTTTTCTTAAAAATTGTCTGCCAAAGGACTAGCAGTTAGTGTAATGGCTATGTCGCTGGACTCCCATGGAGTCGACCGCAGTTTGAGTCCTGGACCAGGTGGCTTAAACTCATGCCGGGCGCATGTGCATGCATGCCCAAGATCTCGAGAGGAGAATGGAGGAGAAGGGATTGTGGAGTGGCCATCCCCCCTGGGGGGTGATTTCTCGTTTTCTGTCTCTCTGTCTCTCTGGCAAGCACACACGCTGTATAGCAAAAACCTCTCAAAATAAACGAACAAACAAACAAACAAACAGTCTGCCAGTAAAGAACTTACAACTTAACAACAAAAAGACAAACAACTCAATTAAAAATAGTTAAGACTTGCATATATATTTCTCCAAAGAAGATAAACAAATATCCAACAAATATATGAAAAGATCTTCAATGTCATTAGTCAGTGAGGAAATACAGATAAAAACCACAATGAACTAGCATTTCAAACCTACTACTTTGGCCATTAAAAAACAAAACAAAACAAAACAAAACAGAAACAAAATAAGTATTGGTGAGGATACTGAGAAATTGAAACACTAATACTTTACTAATGAGAATATAAAATGTTTGCTTTTCATTAAGTTAAAGGTTACCATATGACATAGAGATTCTACTCATAGGCATATACACAAAATAATTCAATATAGGTAGCCAAACAAAAACCTCTTTCTGAATATTTATGGCAGCACTATTCGTAATAGGTAAAAGGTAGAAACAACCCAAATGTCCATTAACTGATGAATATATAAACAAAATGTGGTATGTTCATAGAATATTAGTTAGCTATAAAAAAGAATGAAGTACCAGCACATACCACCACCACATAGATGAGCCTTGAAAACATAATACTGAGTTAAAAAATAAATACACAAAAGGCCACACATTTTTACAGTTGCACTTACATCAACTCTCTAGAATGGGCAAATCCATAGAGATGGAAAGGTAAGCTTAGTAGTTGCCTGAGGCGTGGTAGAGTGGAGAATGTGGTGTGACTTTCAGTCGGAGGGTTTGATTATGGGTGACAGAAATGTTCTGGAAGTAGAGAGTGGTGATGGTTGCCTAATATGGCAAATGTACTTAGTGCTACTGAAGTGTCCTTCAGTTGGAGCCATTTCAAATGGCTATGCTGGTAAATTTTATGTATATTTTACCATGATAAAAAGAAAATTTAAAAAGATTATATGCTGGCTGACTCTGGGGCCTAGACGTTAAGGGAGCCAGTTTCTACACAGTCAAGCTCATGACTTGAATCCTGGCCCCAGTGGCTTGCAAAACACAACCAGTGCATGTGAGTCTGAATCCTGACAAGATGGATAAATGAGAAGAAAGGATGATGGCATCACTATGCCTTATTGGGGGGATGCTTTCTCCCTCTTCTTCCCTCTCTTTTTGGCAAGCATACATGCCCTATAGTAAAATTCAAAAAATGAAAGTTTGTATGCCTAGGTTTAGGCATGGTGGCATGAGCTGTGGGGACATTGCTGTATGATACTAGAGCCATATGGAAGGGCTTTGAGTTTATGTCTTGAGTCTTTCTGGAATGGGCATGCCTGTGATGCTATCTGGTGGAGGATCACTCGCCACATCCCCCACCAAGAAATGAATAAACTTTGAAAAAATTGTATACCAAAAGTCAACGATTCAGGATATAGGGTCAGACAGTGACATAGTAGTAACACAATGCTCTGCAACACTGGACCCACATGGAAAGGTTCTGGGTTTATGTCCCAGGGCTCCCCTGTGCATGCTCAGCCTGCATGTGTACCTGTGATCCAGGCTGGCTGAGGCTACCGGCAGATCGTGGCATGAATACCTGGTTGGCATGCTCCCTACCCCCTTAAAAAAGATAGAAATTTTTTAAAACTGGTTAAAATAACAGACTTGCAATCTTATCCTTTAAAAAATAATTTAATTTTATTTATGGCTATTATTATTTTTAATTTACTAGAGAGAAACAGAGAGGGAAAGTAAGAAAGTAGGTCACCAGGTCCAGGACTTGAACTGTGGTTGACCATGTAGGAGTCCAGAGCCTTAATAACCATACCAACTGCTCACCTGCAGTCTCATCCTTTTATGGGGTTGTATGGTATGTATTGTACGTCATAGAGGAGATTTCACTGTTTTTTTTTTTGTTTGTTTGTTTGTTTTTTTTTAAAGAGATCTTTGCTATAGGACATGTGTGCTTACTCAAAAGACCTAGTGGCTTAAACTCATGCCGGGCGCATGTGTGTGCGTGCCCAGGATCCCGAGAGGAGAATGGAGGAGCAGGGGTTGTGGAGTGGCCCTTCCCACTGAGGGGTGATTTCTTACTTTCTGTCTCTCTGTCTCTCTCTGTCTTTCTGGAGAGTGCATGTGCCCGATAGCAAAAACCTCTCAAAAAAAAAAAAAAAAGAGAGAAAATTAGAAAAGCCCATAATTATAGCACAAATGGGATAGTACTTATTCAGTTTTACTGTTATGTAATACTTTGGCTATTGAGAAAGTGAAGTTCTGTTGTCATCCCACTGTAGGGTCATAATTTTTGAACTGTGTGAACTGTGTGCCCTGGGTGGGGGCATGGCCATGCCACAGTCCCTTGTCTTCCATTCTCTTTTTGGGATTTTGAGTACTCCTGCACATGTGCCCTGTGTGAGTTTTAAGCTCCCAGAGTCAGGAACCAAACTGCAGTCTGCCATGTGAGAGTCCAGCCCCTTAGCCACTTGGCACCTGCTGGCCCCAGAGAGTTCACATTTTTTAAAAGAATCTTTCTATAGTGTGGTGATATGTTGCCTTTTTTTTTTTTTTTTTAAGGTTTTTACCATAGAGTGTGTGCACTCGCTAGAGAGAGAGAGAGAGAGAGACAAGGAAACAGAACTAGAGAGAGGAAAAGTGAGAATTCCTCTGCCCTGGCATAGAGATGGCCGTGCTGCCATCCCTTCTCTATCCTCCTCTCAGGGTTTGGGGCATGTTCACACACAAGGCTCATGTGAGTTTCAAGCTACCAGGTCTGGCCTTGAACCCTGGTTACCCGTTTGAGTGGATAACAAATAGCTATTAAAAATATGCATTCATATTGATTTTAAACCAAATATGTTAATCTTGTTAGAATTTCCAGTCTTAAACCCAATGAAATCTCACATGCTTTCAGACTTAATGCTATATTTCAATGGACAGGTATGGAGTAGGGGTAGAGATTAAAAATACATTTTGCAGTTAAATGAAGTTAAGTGGATTTAAATCCTAGCTTTTCTAATACCAGACATGAAATTTCAAGCATGGACTGAGTCCTTTTCATGTATAAACTCAACCTCCTCAGCAATTTCCATGTATTTTGGAATTCTTTCCACAGAAGAGTGATCTATTGTAGCATTCTGTAAGGCTCTGGGGCCAGATCAATGTGCATCCCTTTACTAAACTTATTAGCAGTAAGGTAGTGCTTTCAAGACAAAGAAAGAAGCTAACACCTACCTAAAGTTTATGAAGAAAACAAGAAGGAAGAAAAAGAATAAAAAAGAGGATAAAAGATGAAAAAGGTCTTGTTTCTTTAACCTTGCTCTAAGTTACTAATTTTAACTTGGTACAAGGATCCAAACTGTCCAAGGATCCAAATTGTTCGGCAATACGGGACACCTTCACTCTGATATCCAGCCAACGAATAAAGAAGCTGATATAAAAACTCAAAGGAAATCCCGACTCTTGCAAAACAAAAGACAGAGGGTGTAACAAAGGATCATAATTCAAATGGGAAATATGCTTGATAGTCCCAGCTCAGCACAAGGCTTTCCACATCTCCTTGACATCAGTCAGCTGGATGTCAGCTGTACTCAAAGCAGTTTTGCTAAGGGGTGTGAAGAAACATTTAACTGTAAAACTTACTCCCTGATCCTCAAGGAGCTTACGACAGCGCTGGAGAGATTAGCCCTGTAACTAACACTCCAGGGCGGTCAATGAAACGTGACAAATGAGTTGACGGGGCCTTCAAGGAGGAGGAATTCAGTTAGGGATTACTGGGGGCCGAGGGCTTATTAAAGAAGGCTCTGATAGGTAGGTCGTAGACATCCCAGGCAGGTGAGGCTTTCAGTGAACGCGAAATCCAGGCGTCCCCGACCCTGGACTCCCGCAGGGCATGTAGGCGTGGCGCCCCCGGCAACTGGCCTAGCCCCTCGGGCCACGGCGCGTGCGCAGCTCGACGCTCGCTCTGGGCGCGCTGCCCGCGGGACGCTGGCCAAGGGCCGCAAGCGCGAGACCCAGCGCGCCAAGGCGGGAAAAGACCAGCGCATGCGCGGCCCGGCGCTCCCGGCTCGCCGGGATGGGGAAGGGGAGGTGGAGTTTCCTAGAGGGAACTTGACCCGTGCCCAGGGCGCCGCGCTCGCCATCCTCCCCGCTCCCTCCGCCCCCAGCGCGACAGTTGGGCCCTCGGTCCCCACGTGTTAGACGGGGACCTGAGGCACACGCAGTGCGCAGCGAGGCCTCGGGTCTGGCCGACGCAGCGCAGGAGGTCGTGGCGGACAAAAGTGATATATTCTGGCGGGGCGAAGAAGGGTCAGGCGGTCGGCGAGGGCCAGGGCGGGCAGCTCCGGCTCATGCTCCCCTCCTCAGCGCGCCCACGGGGTCCAGGCGGCTAGAGGGCATCTCGGTAGAGGAGGCGATGGTGACCCGGACGCAGCTGCTGGAGGAAGAGCTGAGCAGCCTAAAGGAGGAGCTGGCCCTGTGTCAGGTATCGAGGACTCGCCGCCGGCCTTTCCTCTGCACTGTGGGCCAGGAGCGGTGGGGGGCGCGCTCTTCTCCCTCCGCCTCGGATGCTTGGCTCCGCGGGCTTGGGACCTCTCGAGCCCCGCCGGGCGACGCTCCCTCCCGGCTCGCACACCCAGCCTGGCGGGCAACCTGGGGCTGGAGGGACGCGGCAGCGCCGGGTGCCGGATGCTCTCCAGGCAGGGTTTATCTCCGCGCCGCGGGGTCTGTCCGGTCACTTAGATACCGCAGAAGCGCTCCCTCGCACCCCGCTCCTCCCTTCCCGGAGCCGAGTTCTCGGTGATGACTAGGGGTACCAGGTGCCCGGGAGTGGAGTGCAGTCTACGAGTTGCAATGAACAGCAGAGTGTAAACACTTTTGTTAAAATAAAGTCCACTGATGAATCTGTTTGTAATTTTCAGACCCACACTTGCCTTTATTCTTAACGGAGTCAAGCTTAAGATGTAGACACACCAATAATTTTTGAGGGGCTGGGAACTTAAACACACAAGAACTGATGCTTGATACTTATTAACCAGTTATGGTATCCCATAGTCCTTGAGTGTGAAGTCTTCATGTGATCTTGCAGGTGAACAGTGTTTGCTAAATCAGTTAACGGTACTGACCAGTCATTTTAGGGTTTTTGCATTTAAGGATGAGCTTGATTGCACTTAAGTTCGCAGAGACTTCCTTGAGTTTTGCAACTTCACTATCTCTTCACTGATTTTACTAGAACCCTTAGATAGGTTTGGGAAGTTTAATATTTAAAACTTAACACATCTTTTAAGTCATTCAGTCTTCAAGATGGAAACCAGTTAGGAACTGCTAAGCACCAAGGGAACTGTGAGCAGGATCATCAGTTTAATAAAACAATTCATGAAATTAATTTTTTCGCAGTTCTTTTGGATCCTTTTGACCCTTTATAGGTCTTTACTGACTGAGTCAAGGCTGTAAAAAGAAGATTATCTTGTTCAAGTTGATATGCCTTTGGTTAAACATGTTGGGGAAGTAATATGTAGTATGATCGCCTTTTTATTTTCCCACTTGCTATTCTTTACTGGTTAAAGACACCAATGAACCAAAGCATTTTGTTATCCATAGACATCATCCCTATGAACCCATGATAAAGGCCTTTGTTAAATCCTAATAAGATCCTTTTTGCCCGTATTTTGCACACTCCTCTCCATCCCCTGCCCCTCATCCTTGGTTGTATAGTTATGTCCTTGACTAGCTACAGACCTAAGATATTTATTCTTTATGACTGACTTGATTAGGAAAAATGATCCCCTGGAAACAGCCTGATGAACCTAGATCCACTCACTATTCACTTATAGTCTTTAAAAATGTGACTGCAGACATGACACTGGCTTCTATGGCTTTGGACATAGATAAACTAGGAAGACAACTGAAATATTCTGGACAGATGTAATAATATAGAGATGGTCATAATTAACCTACAACTATGGTTCTTGAGATTGTATAATTTTAATACCATTAAATGATCATAGGCATTCCAGTAATGTGAGATGAGATTGGCAGTATCCCACACTATAAAACTTGAGTCAACCAGATGCCTGCTTTTGGGGAAACTTGGGAAGATTAGTAATTGAACTCTCAATTGTTTTTAAGAAAGCAACAGTGTAATTAAATATCATATTCACATCTTTTTTATTCATTCTTCTGCTTATTCAGCTAGTAGTCACAATACCCAAGAATGTAGTGTTAAAACTATTAAACATTGCAACCCAAAGAAATCTATTTTATATCTAAAACCAATAAGCACACATATAAACATACATATAATTTCAGAAAGAGCATTTACTGTAAGTTTCATGAACTCTGGTATTTATAGTTTACTCCCCCCCCCCAAAAAAAATGTTAAGATCTGTTGTAGTCTTATTTTCACAACCAAGTAATAGGTTAGATTAGTTTTTTTTTTTCATATTCAACTGATGAGCATGCAATTTTACATACTTGAAGAAAAAGTTTCAGTGTGCTGTTCTACTCCCTTGGAATGCCTCAGAACAGGGATGTTCTGGAAAACAAGTGTTTCTCTTAATGTGAACATCTCATTTCACTCTATGTGATTATATTATTGCATTGTTTTTTCATATGGCCCTCCAATCAGCAAGCAAACTAAACATAATGCTTACCTGAAGAAAAATGATCGATTTCACTATGGAAAGAAAAGCTGTCTGTATTAGAATTGAGGATGGTAGGTTAGCTTCCAAATGTATCTTTTTCCTAAGGAATTTTCAAGAGTATTCTAAAGGGTAATTTTGAGTTCATGATATCTTTGCCTTCTTTCATTGGTTTAGAACCTAACTTCATTATACTTTTAGTTTTTTTTTAAAGAATTATTTTTTTTTGTTTAACTTTATTTAGTCTTTCTTTTGACCAGAGAGGGACAGAAAGAGAGAGAGAAAGCAAGAAAGCAAGCCACCATGTCTAGGACTTGAACTGCGGTCGACCATGTGAGAATCCAGTGCCCTTAACCACCGCACTACCTGTTGGCCCCTATACTTTTAGTTTTGGTTATTTCTTTCTTTTTAATTATTTATTTAATTTTATTTATTAATTCATTTATTTTAATTTTTCCTGGGGGGGAGTGAGAAAGCAAGCTGCCAGGTCTGGGACAAACTGTGTCAGCCATGTGGGAGTGTCCAGCACCTTAACCACCATGCCACCTGCTGGTCCCCGATTATGTATTTCATGTTATTTTGGGTACAGAGGACACAGGGAGTATGTGTATATGCTCACTTACCACCATTTGTAGAATACCAGATGAAAAAAAGTAATGTTATATGGGTTGTCAGAGAAGTTAGGGCACATTTTTGCATGGAAAAACAGAAAAATAATGTCATGACTTATTCTGACAACCCAATATTTGTATAGTATTTATAAAGCTTTTTTTGGGGGGTAGGGTGGGAGGGAGGATTGTTTGGTCATATGGCCTGGTATTTAAGGGAGCTGGATCCCACATGGCCAACTGCTTGGTTAGAATCCTGGCCCTGACATGCCTCAAATCTCAACAGAATGGAAAAATGGGAAAGAAGGGATTATGACCTGAATTCTCCTTTAGGGGATGCTTTCTCCCTTTCCTTCTCTGTCTCTGGTCCACTGGCAAAATACCCAGAAACTAAAAACCCTCTTTTGTAGCAGCTAAAAATATTTACTATGCCTATAAACTAGTTTCAGGTAAAAAAATTATTTTGAGCATTTAAAGGAAACATGTGTTCATTACCAACTTTAACAATGAAATGATCTTTTTGAAGAATGTCATGTTAGAAGAGTATATGACCAGAAAATTCAGTCAGGAGTGGGAGGAGTATCTTCAGAAAGTTCATGGGAAATGTATTATGACAAACCTGCATGGATTTCACTTTTTTTTTTTTTTTCACCAAAATAAACCTTGGTTTTCCACAAACTTTCTGAATTTTTAAATGTTAGACATGTAGATGTTTTGGAACTTTGTGCAGTCATTCATACATCAAAAAAACAAAAAGATGAAAGTACTGTGTGATAGATTCTTCCCATTGTTAGTACCTGGATTCTAAATCCTTTTGTGTAGTTATTTTTCTTGGTGATAATTAACGAAGTGGCTACTTTGTGTTATACTTTGTAAGTAAACTCCTTCCATGGTTTTCCTTCAGTTCTGGTAAGCAAAGCTTTTAGGATGTTTGTTGAATCGCACCTCCAGTAGAGGCCAATTGAGGGGCTTAATAGATGCCCCGACACTAAACTAGGTGTTTGGAAAGTAGGTATCCAGTGAAAAGAAGCAATTTTGGGATCTATGTTTGTATGTATAGCTGGTATCTATTTCCATTTCAGCTGAAGGTGAAGAACAAAATCGAATTATCTCTGAGGAAATTTAGACCCAAATTACCTAACATTTAGTCAGTTGTTTCATAGGCTGAGTTTAAGAAATTTTGTGAGAGGAGTAGGAATTTTTTAAATTTGGATTTTAAATTATTTTATTCTGTTTGGGTGTTCTGTAGTGAGAATAACAAGTTTTATAACAAAATTTTAAAGGTTTTTATTTTTAATTTTAGAAAAAGAACATGTTTAAGTTTCTGAAGGAAGGGAAAGTATAGACGATAAAAATAACTTCCTTATTTTAATAATATTTTGACTTGTGTGTTTTCTGGGGTCTTTAGTTATGAAAGTGGGTCTTTTTAGTGATTAGATGTATAATCTATATTGAAGATAATAATGGTGTTTGTGCAAGTAAAAACTCATAAAACTCATATACAATAGTTCCACTACCCATTTGTAGCATTTTATTGTCCAAAAAAGTAGCTTTTTTGGGACCAGCAGTTGACGTAATGGCTGTGTTGCTGGACTCCCATGTAGTCGACCGAGGTTCGAGTCCTGGACTCGGTGGCTTATACTCAACGCTGGGCACGTGTGCGTGCATGCCCAAGATCCCAAGAGGAGAATAGAGGAGAAGGATTATGGCATGGCCATCCCCCTTGGGAGGTGATTTCTCACTTTCTGTCTCTCTCTGTCTTTCTGGCGAGCGCACGCGCCCTATAGCAAAAACCTCTCCAAAAAAAAAAAAAAAAAAACCTTTTTAAAAAGTATTTTTAAAATTTTATTTATTATTATTAATTTGCTATAGGGCACATGAGAGAGAAAGAGACAGTGAGAATGCAAGTTGCCAGGTCCAGGACTCAAACATCAGTTGGCCATGTGTGAGAGTCCAGTGCCTTAACCACCGTACCTCTTGCTGGCCCCTAAAATAGAACCTTTAAAAAAAATCACCAGACTTAATGTACAGCATGGTGACTATAGTAATAGCAATATATTGTATACTTGAAAATTGCCGAGAGAATTTTCACTAAAAAAAGACAATGAGTATGTGAGGTGAGAGCTGTGCCAATTAACTTAGCCATTCTACAATGCATATAAATATCAAAACTTCATGTTGTACATTATAAGTATATGCATTTATTTGTACATTAAAAAAATTATAAAACAAACATTTTAGAAAAATGAGTAAATACATTTCTTACCTTGGAGTAGGGAAGGCACATCTAACTAGCATATAAAATCCATAAACCATAATGGAAAAGATGGATAAATTTGAGTATATATATATATATATAAAAAAACCTTCATTTCTCTAAAAACAAAAAAAATCCTATCATAAATAAAGTTAAATGAGCAGCAATAGACTCGGAAAGATATTTCCAGTACATTTGCCTGAATTTAATTTTAAGGTTTCAGATAAGGTTTTTTTTTTTTTTTTAAGAGGTTTTTGCTATAGGGCACGTGCGCTCGCCAGACAGACAGACAGAAAGCGAGAAATCACCCCCCAGGGGGGATGGCCATGCTGCAATCCCTTCTTCATTCTCCTCTTGGGATCTTGGGCACGCACGCACATGCACCCGGCGTGAGTTTTAAGCCACCAGGTCCGGGACATGAACCGCGGTCAACTACGTGGGAGTCCAGCGACATAGCCATTACGCTAACTGCTGGTCCCTCCTATAAGTTTTTAACACTTCTTGGATATCATTGGCTGAACTGTCCTACAGTTGGTGAGGCAATAGAGGCCTCTCTGTTAGTTGGGCAGCGAAGAGCCAAAATGGTTCTATAACTAAAAACAGGTGAGAATTGATGATAGAGACTGATAAAAATTGAACAATTTGGTGCACAAATGAATCCAAATAAATAAATACAAGATTATTAAAATTTCATTTAATAACAAAATTATTAAACATTTCAGTTCCATGAAGAATAAATGAAACAGGAGTAAGAGGTCACCAGAGACTTGTGGGTTTTGGTGGCTATCGTTAAAGAAGAAATATCTTGAGATGAAATTATTTAAGCAAAGGCCTGAATGAAGTCAGGAAATTATATATATGAAAATCTGGTAGAGTACAAAGACCATGGTTGAAGTAGAGTAAGTACAGGAAGAAAGTGTGAATGAAGAAAAGAATGATAGATGAAGATGAAGAGGTGTGTATGGGATTAGATCATGTTGGGGGGTTTCTTGCAGAATTAGTGAAGAGCATGTTATTTTACTAATCTGATGGAACCCATAGGAGAGGTTTGAGCTCTAAGTCTCCAGGAAACCACTGGAAAGAGGTAGGCAAAACATGGAATTGACTTGGACTAGGGCCATCGGGGAGGAAGTCAAAGTGGTCAGAACTGTGATACATTTTGAAGATAAAGCCAGTTGGATTTACTGATGGTTTGGATATGAAGTGTGTGCAATAGAGAACAACCAAAATTGACTCCTAGCTTTTAGGTCTTCAAACAAATGCATAGATAGTTGTGTCATTTTTTTGAGATGCAAATGAACAGGTTTGTTAGAGGGTAAAGAATCTATTTTGGACAGGTTAAATTTAAATTTCCTTTTAGACATTCAAGTGGATTGTTGATTAGTAGTTGAAGATACAAGTCTGGACCTAAGGGTAGAGGAAATGGTTAGAAATAGAAATGAAGGGGAGCTGAAAAATGGAGTGATAGCTGGATGCCAGTTAACTTTTGTTTCTTAAGAATTATTTATTTGGGGCAACCAGCAGTTAGCATAATGGCTATGTCGCTGGACTCCCACATAGTCGACTGCGGTTTGCAACCCGAATCCAGTGGCTTAAAACTCACGCCGGGTGCGTGTGCGTGCGTGCCCAAGATCCCGAGAGGAGAATGGAGGAGAAGGGGTTGTGGCGTGACCATCCCCCCTGGGGGGTGATTTCTCGCTTTCTGTCTCTATGTCTCTCTCTGTCTGTCTGGCGAGCGCATGCGCCCTATAGCGAAAAAAACCTCTCCAAAAAAAAAAAAAAAGAATTATTTATTTGGGTTGGCAGGTAGCGTGGTGGTTAAGAACGCTGGATTCCCACATGGCCGACTGCGGTTCAAGTCCTGGACCTGGTGGCTTGCTTTCTCACTTTCTCTCTCTCTGTCTGATCAAACTGGAAAATAATTGTAATAATAATAAAGTTAAACAAAATAATTTAAAAAAATAAAAAATGCTTAAAAAAAAGAATTATTTATTTGATTTTTAGTGGGAACAGCAATTGGCATAATGACTATGTCGCTGGACTCCCATGTAGTCGACCGCGATTTGAATCCCAGACTGGTGGCCAGGTGTGTGTGTGCGTGTATGCCTAAGATACTGAGAGGGGAATGGAGGAGAAGGGATTGCGGCATGGCCATCTGCCCTGGGGAGTGATTTCTCGCTTTCCATCTCTCTCTCTCTGTCTCTGTCTTTCTGGTGAGCACATGCGCTCTATAGCAAAAACTTCTCAAAAAAATTATTTATTTAGTTTTATTTACGATTATTATAATTTTTTAAAGTTTACTACAGAGCATATGTGCTCGCAAGAGAGAGAGACAGAAGACAGAGAAAGAAAGTGAGAAAGCAAGCTGCTTGGTCCGGGACTCAAATCACAGTTGGCCATGTGGGATTCCAGTGGCATAAGCATTACACCACTCTCTGGCCCCTGTTAGTTAACTTGTAGAGCAAACTTACTTTGCATTTAAACATTTGTACCCCAAAATGTGGGTGATAGAAATAGTAACAGTGAATGTGGGTTACCAGTGTAAGAACTTTTAAAAATAAAATTTTTCTGCGATACTTTTAAAGAATCTTTTGGTGTAACATAGCACTAGGGATCAACTTACTATGTTTTTAAATTTTTTAATGTAATGTAGTATCTTCTCTGATAGTACTACAAAGCAATGTATTTAAAATAGTTTTTATTTCTTTAAGGCTGATAAAGAATTTGTGTGGTCTTTGTGGAAACGACTCCAGGCAACAAACCCAGATCTCACACAAGTGGTCAGTTTAGTTGTGGAAAGGTGAGTACCTAAGTAATTTTTTTCATAAGTGTTTGTTGAATTTGTTTCTCTTCAGTATTAATGTTAAAACTTGTTATTAGTGCCCTAAAGAGATAATACCTTTGGCTTTCAAATGAATGTGGAGCAGAATATTGTAATTATTTGATTTATTACAATGGGTGCCAATTCACCAAGTACAGCTCGGCCCTATTTCTTGCTCATATTCTGATATATTTGGGGAGTTTACAGGTAAGAGATAAAAATAAGGCTTATATACACTTGGAGAGTGTGTGTGTGTGGTGTGTATGTGTTGTATGTGTTTGTCCTGAGCTGTTATAGCTCAATTTTAAAATTTGGAATAGTCCCTGTTATTTTGGTTTCTTACTTCATTGATGCCACTGTAAGGGACTTAACATAATTTAGTTTTTCCCTAAGAAAATTCACAGTATACTAAAAGCCTGAATGACCTTGTCAGAGTAGTATAAGTGTTCTGGAATAGGTTGAGGGGGTTTACTTAGCACTCTGTATTACCCTGTAGGGAATGCCTAATCATGTAACTACAGATTATTAGGCTACTCCTTGGTCATTAGAAAACTGGAGTGATGCTGGGTGCCCCGTATCAGACATTTGGTATACAACAGCCTCATGACATTTAGCTCAGCAGTGAAAACACTTGGCTTCCTATTATAAAATTTCATTTTATTTCCTAAATTAAAAGTTAAGCTTATGGATTCCTTTTCCTTTTTCTTTATTGGAATCATGATCGTATAATCTGAATATCATTTTAGATAACTTTAACTATATTCACCTTTGGAGTCTTTAGCTCTAGGATCATTCCAGTATGATCTGGAATTTGGCTTGTTAATATTTGTGATATATGATCTGTCTAATTTTGCTATCCTTGGTTATTATGAATTCTTAAAATAGTGTAATCAGTTTTTCCTCATGTTGCTCTTATGTATAATTCATCAATCAATTTTTACCATTTGATCATCAGAATTAAGTCATTTGTTGAAGTGCCCTTATTACTTTCTCAATCATTCTTGAGCTGCAATTGATCACTCTCAGTCTCCTGTTTTTTAGCAGAAAAAGCCTTCTAAAGAAGTCTTGGAACTTCAGTCCTCATTTTATGATTCTTTCTTTATCCTCTCCTTTTATTTGCTACTTTTTTCAAATTTTCTAGACCTATTAATTTTTATTTTCCTCTGAGCTTAGCAGAGTAAATATTAAATAATATAAAGTTATATTAAAGTTTAATAGCAAATATTAAAATATTGTTACATCATTTTCTTCATCCTTTGCAGTTTATAGTTTTCATATATATATATATATATATATATATACACACACATATTTATTCATATGAAAATATATATGTATACAGTTTATAAATAAACATACATATATTGGAAGTAGGTACTCAGAAGCCTTTACTGATAAGGTATGCAGTGAGAAAATTTGGAGATTACTGCTTTATAAGTATAATTCTCAAAATCTAGTGTGTATAAGATATACTTGGGAAAATTATTAAAATGCAGATCTTTGGGCGTTTAGGGCAGCAGGTGATGTGGAGGTTGGGGTTGTTGGACTCCCACATGGCCAACCACAATTTGAGTCCCAGTCCCAGCATCTTGAAAATCATCCTGGGCATTTTTGCATGCATACCCAAAATCCCAGGAGCCTCATACGCCTACTGTCACATGGTGATGCCAAAGGTATCTATGAGGAGTAGACCTTCTTCAAATGCCAAATCTGCTGGTTCTTTGATGTTGGACTTCTCAGATTCCAGAACAGTAAACAATAAATTTTTGTTATTTATAAATTATCCAGTCTAAGATTTTTTTTTTTTGAGAGGTTTTAGCTATAGGATGTGTGTGCTCACCAGGAAGACAGAGAGAGATAGAGAGACAGAAAGTGAAAAAATCAGCCCCCCCCCCAGGGGGTGGCCATGCCGCAGTCCCTTCTCCATTCTCTTCTCAGGATCTTTGGCACACATGCACACGTGCCCAGTGTGAGTTTTAAGCCAACGGGTCCGGGACTTGAACCATGGTCAACTAAATGGGAGTCCAGCAACGTAGCCATTATGCCACCTGGTCCCAGTCTAAGATTTTTGTATAGCAGTACAAGAAGACTGAGATTCTCTATTTTTTTAATTTTTATTTTAGAAATAAAAAGTTTACTTCTAAGAAATTATTTTTTCTTTTCAAAGCAGTGTTCTTTAATAAAATAACATTTTAATCTTGAGGATCAGCAGATAGCGTAATGGTTACATTGCTGGACTCCAACATAGTTGACTCCAACATAGTTGGCTGCAGTTTGAGTCCCAGACCTGGTGACTTAAAACTCACGCCAAGCTTGTGTGCATGTGTGTCCAAGATCCAAGAGGAGAATAGAGAAGAAGGGCTTGTGGCGTGGCCATCCCCCTGGAGGGGTGATTTACCACTTCCTGTCTCTTTCTGTTTTTCCAGTGAGCGCACATGCCCTATAGTAAAAATCTCTCTCTTAAAAAAGAGGGTAACTTTTTAATCTTTCTTATTATAATTTTTCTATTCTTGCATGATCTTTCATTTATGCCAACTTCTGTTTGTTCTTCCTAGTCTTTTCTCTTTAATAGTGATTATTATCTTCAAATGTATGATCCTTTACTGACTATGCATATTTTTATGTAAAAAAGTCTACTACTTTATGTAGATATGTTGTTTATATGGGCTTGCTTTGCATTTTTGTTTTTGTTTGCTAAAAGGCTTCTTCTCTTAATGGGAGAATTACCTGTGAACTTTTTGTTTGGGGTGAGTGAGGGCCTATTGACAGGTTTTCCTGAAAGGTGTATGATAGATTGACTTCACTGTACCAAATGAGACTTAGGTCCATTAAGTCATGTTCTTTTCTTATTTTATGTATTATCCCAGCAACTATAGTAGGGAACTTTGCCAGGCAAATGGCTATTTTGCTGTAAGCCAATGCTGTATGTAGCTGTTGGGTAGATGATTTCCTAATTAATTGTCTTGATTTCTGTGGTCTTCTGTTCTCTGTACTTATTAATTGGGTACTTACAGCCTCTCTAGGTTCTCTTCCATGCAGATTCCTTTTCCATTGTAGACTTCTATTTAGGTTTTGGATTATGATTTTTCTCCTTTGGTTTATTTGTCTCTGTGAGCTTATGCTTCTGTCTTTGATATATTTGTCAAATTTATGGTCTATTTAGGGCTTATTTTTTTGTTTTCCATGCTGGTAGGGATTTATTTATTCAAGGGAATAGTGCGACTGGAAAATGTCAATGTCATGTTGTTAATTTGTCTTTAAGAATATAGTATAATAGATTCTGAGATGACTACTGAACTTCAGCTATGAAATATTGCCTTCAGGGACTAAAAAATGAAGATTTTCTGCTGAGACTTCTCCTTCCGGAATCATTCAACCCTAAAAACCTTCTCTCTATCTCTGTCTCCCTCTGTCTCCCTGTAGTCTCTGTGCTCTCAAGCCCCTCCTTTATCTTGCTAATTCGTGCCTTTCCTCCCTCCTATTTAGGAGAGGCATAAACCCAGGCTCTTTCTGAGAAGAGCTGTTAGAGATGAAGGTTGTAACACAGGAAATCAAAATCTCCCTTGAAAGTTCTGAACTTCAGTTGTGAACGTGTGCCGCATGATTTTCATTTTGTGACTTTTAAAATTAAAATACAAAATTTTTTAATTGTCTATTTTTCTTTCTTTTTTCTTGCCTCTTCTTTTCCTTTCCTTTTTCTTTTAACTTTATCACTTGGCTGCTCAGTCTCCCTACTTTGAGTGTCTAGACAAGTCTAAGTGAATAGTATTCAAATATCTGATTACTAATAGGGTCAGAATATTCCTAAATTCCCACCGAATCTGGCACACAAAAGTGAAAAATGGGATAGAAGAGAGATTGCAGATAACCTCCTCCATCACACCTCTGAACACTCAGATTGAACTTCAAGAATTAGGAAGAAATGCGCAATTCATCAGATGACCAGAAATCACCACAGAGGCACAAGAAATATGAGAAAGCAAGAATATACCTCTCCTCCAAGGGAAAAAAATAACTCCTCTTCATCCCCAGACAGTACAGTGGAACTCACAGAAATGTCAGATAAAGAATTTAGAATATTCATAGTGACAAAGTGAACAGAGATGGAAGAGAAGAAAGACAACTCCAGAAGACACAGGAGAAGAGTCAGGAGCCATGATTTCCAAGAGTGAAGAAGTTCTTGCACGATTTGAAAAAAGAAAAAAGAATCAAATGGAACTGTTAAAGATGAAGGCTATACTACAGGAAATAAAACCTTCCCTTGAAAGTATTAAAAATAGACTAGATCATACGGAGGATCGAATCTCAGATGAAGAAGACAGACTCACTGGCCTAGAAAAATCCACCACAAAGGCTGAGAAAATAGCCCCCCCCCAAAATGATTATGATATACAAGAAGTACTAGATACCATTAAATGTCCAAATATCTGGATAATTGGTATCCCAGAAGGTGAACAAAATAGTAAGGGCATTAATAATCTATTCCATGACATTCTGGAAGAATACTTTCCAAATCTAGAGACATATTCGAATATCCAGACACAAGAAATACAAAGAGTCCCAAGAAATACAAAGGACCCCAAATAAAATCAACCCAAGAAGATCTTCTCCAAGCACATTATAGCCAGATTGACCAAAAACACAGACAAAGACAAGATACTGCTATTGATGAGAGAGACGTCTAGTTACCTACAAAGGCTACCAGCAGATGTCTCATCAGAAAAAATGAAAGCAAGGGAAGAATGGGAAAATATATTCAGAGTGTTAAGAGAAAAAGAATTTCAACCAAGAATACTGTACCCGGCAAAATTATCCTTCATATGGGAAGAAAAGACAAGAACATTCTCAGATAAACAAAACTTGAAAGAATTTACCAATACCAGACCAACTCTCCAATAAGTTCTGAAGGGAGTGCTATACCACGAAAACTAAATTCAGACACACAGAAATAAGAGTTCACTAACAACTAAGAAAATGGC